GGGGGGAATGTCTTCGGTCTGCAGGGCTGTCACTGCCTCTCCCTTCTCTCTGTCTGCAGAACAAGTCCCGCTTCGATGCACACACAAGCTCCCGCAGAGGCTGGACAAGGCTGGGGACAGACGCGGCTGTGATGCTGGGCGAGGAGAGCCCCGAAGCGCTGATGGATCTTCTGCGCGACCGGCGCAGCCCCTGGGCTCTGCCACCAGACTGCAGCCGCCAGGACCAGCACCTGCGGGAAGTGGCCGTGCTGACGCCCAAGCTCGTCCATGGTTCCAACATCTTCCAGATCCTCAGGTCGCTGCGGATCGTTGGCAAAGGGGTAAGTGCAGCTGCTGGTGCCCGTAAAGCTACACATCTCCTGGCCAGGAAACCAGTTGGGAGGGAAAACATCCTGGGAAAATAACACCTCCCCCATCCAAGGGTCTTCCCAAATGCCACTATTGCAGCTGGGGTAGAGCTACTCCCCCCTTGCCCCCGAGCATGTTGCACTAATCCCTGTTACATATATGTCACGTGGATCAATACTACATGTCCATGTCACCTTGGCCACGAGGTGGCTCAGGGATGCATTGACCAAACCCAACTCTTTGCAGGTAGAGGAAGTTGACGATGGTCTCTTGCAGTTACATCAGCTGGAGGAACTCATCCTCAGTGCCAACCAGATCAGCAGGATAACCTCGGCCAACCTGCCCCGGACACTGAAGGTGAGTGAGCAATGCCTTGCGACAGCAGGATGGGGAAGAAGGTCCCACCTGGGAACGCAATGTAAGCCGAGCAGCTCGAGGGAGTGCCAGGAACAGCTCATTGCAAAGGGTGTTTGTTGTTCTCTCTGTCCTGGGCAGGTCCTGGAGCTCTGCTGCAATGCTGTGGCTGATCTGCAGGACCTGTGCACTCAGCCTCCTCCGGAGCTGCAGCACTTGGGGCTGGGATACAACAGGCTGTGCAGCCCTTCGCAGGACAAGTACCTCACTGCGGCCTTCTGGTAACACCACAGGCTGAACATGGGCTTCTAAAAGAGAAGTGGGCAGCTGTGAACAGATGACCCCAAGCCATCAAGGTGGTCCATGTTAAGAAATTACAGCCCTTCAGCAGGTTTCTTTCTTTGCTCTGTGTCCAAAGCCCATGCGGAGTGCTCTGTCCCTATTCGCTGTCTTCTGTCTCATGCCTAGAGGGTGTCTTGGTCTGTGGCCAAGATGCGGAATGGGGAGATCACCTGGGGAACTGCCTTCACACCCTGCTCACCACAGTTCCCATGCCGCTGGGCAGCTGCCTTTTTCCAGACCCTTCCCAAAGCCCCTGCTGGAAGTCTGCCCCGGGAAGGGTCTAAAGCTTAGGCTGCATCACCGATGATGCAGTGGAATGGTTTATGGATGATAAAGGAATATGTTTTTGAGTTGTGGGGCAGACTGGCAATGGACCACATGGCTCAGGAAGTTGGAGTTGGCCTCTTGAGATTGTACCATTGGATTCCCTGGGTTGACCCAGTTTGTGCTGGGGAAACATAATTTTTGCTTCTTTTTTTGACCCAGGGCAGTACCTCTCTATCCTCAGATGGATGCTGTTTGCCTAACCTTCTTCTCTGGGTTCTCTCCTTAGGCCAAACCTCGTCTCCCTTGACCTGAGCTTTAACAACTTCATGGATCTGCTGGGGCTGGTCTACCAACTGTCCAGTCTGCAGAAGCTCCGCATCCTTGTGCTCCAAGGGAACCCACTGGCTCTCATTCCCACTTACAGAGCCTTCCTTGTGGACAGCCTGCCCAAGCTCTCCATCCTTGATGACATCCACATAGGGCCTGACGAGAGGCACCAGTTCCATGGTTTGGCAAGGCAGCCAGGTGAGCCTTTGCCTTTGAACCTGTCTGTGCTGTCTGCATGATTCAGGAGGTGGTTTCATCATGGTTGAGCTAGGAGTCTTCAGGGCAAACTCTGGATCCAGTATTGACTTCCCTTTTGCCTTTCCTGAGAGATCTTTCTCTGTGCCTTTCTACCCCTCCAGTACAAGTGAGGTGACAGACAGATGACCCCACAGCAGAGTAATTAATTACAGTCGAGACAATTTTAGCCATAATCAGGTCCAAAGGTTGCAGGAACAACCTAACCCTAGCACTGCCCCGCTGTCACGGTCTGCCCTCATCTTTGCTTTCTAGGCACCACCTGGTTTCAGACAATGCTTTTCCCTCTCGAGCTGCTGGAAAAAGAACATCTCCACTGGGGTAGATGCTCACATGCACGCTGCACTGCTGGCACGAAGCGGTGCCACCTCTGCAGCGTGGCACGTCCCCGTGTGGGACAAGGGCAGGGGCATGGGGACACCCGGGGGTGGGAAGCCCCTCTTGATGACCCCGACTCAATGACTTTATGCGCTGGATGTGCTTTTTGGACTCTGAAATGTTAACCAGGGAGACAGAGCAACCGAGCTAGGAGATGTTTGTGTGGCTTTGGAGCGACCCCATGTGGCAGTGACTTGTCACAGCGTTAGCACAGGGTGGCAGGGAGGGATGCACGGCGTCCTGGAGGCTTCTATTTGCTCTGTACCGTCCTCGCTCTGGAAGCAGCACGCTGCAGCTTCATAGCCAGATGGTCTTTCTTTTAGAGCTGATCAGGAGCGAAGCACGAGTGGTCGTGAGCATTGGGGAGATCGAGGGAGTCCCTGATCCCAGCCCTCGTCAGCAGCTGGAGGTTGGCTCCAAGGCTCCGGTGATCACCTACAGCTACTGTGTGATGTACGAGTTTGTGGAGGGCGAGGAGATCGAGGACGGTAGCTGCACTGAGGTTCGTGCTTAACTGAGCTCCTGAAAGCAACAGGCAGTGGCAGGTCACAGCAGGGGGGACTTTGCCTCCAGGCTGCGGAGTGAGACTCTTCATGATGGACCTGCTGTGGGCAGCAGCGGTACTGGGGACAGAATTCACGCGTGGCCACATCTGGCAGGACAAGTCCCTGCTGCCCATGTTTCCCCATCCCTCTCGGGGAGCACAGCGCTGCTCTGCACGTGGGTGTACATTTACAGCCCTCCTCCTGCGGCAGACCCCTTCCCTGGCACTGGTGCCCCTTCTTCCAATGACAAGGGTGGTCTGGGAACAGGATTTTGGAGGCAGGTCTGCCCCATGGTCCTGCAGATACAACCAGACATACCCTGTCAAGGGATCCCTCTCTGTTCCAGGTAACAAAAATCCATCAGAGTCCCACGGTGGCCACCCTTGGTGTGGACAGCTCTGCTCAGGACACAGGAGAAACAAAGGGCCAGCAGGAGCCTGCAGCCACAGAGGGGCCCAAGACCCACTCTGGTAATGACAAATCACAAATGAATTGACACTGGTTGATGCCAGGGGCCCTTCCTGTCCTCGGGAAGGAGAGGTCTCTCCTCAGAGTGTTTTTGCGTCCCTGCACAGCAAAGGTGTTTGTCACCCCTGGAAAACCCTGGGCAGGCACCATCGACTGCAGCTACAGGAAGGAGCACACTGCCAAGGACTTAGTGGGGCTGAAGTCCTACCTGGCGGCTGGAACGATTGTCTCGGTCGTGGAGGAGAAGGTGAGTGTGTGGCAGAGCTGGATAAAAGGGGAAGGAGCTGCTGGGAGGCCCAGTGGTGGTATTGTGTTCCCTCTGGGAGTCAGCTCGGGATGGTGGTGACGCTGGGCCTGGGTCCTCGGGTGTTCCAGCCCCTGCAGCACGAGCTCCTCTCTCCGTGCAGGTGCTCTCATGGCCTGTCAATGCTGATGCAGAAGAAAATGCAGTCACGAAGGGGAAGGCAGGACGGGTGCTGCAGAAGGATGGTGCCAAGGTAGAGTGCTAGGAGAGAACGATGTCCAAATAACATCTGAGTTGCAAAAACAATGCTGGGGGAATGAGGGCCCTTCTCCTGCACCAATTTGGTGTATCAGAGAATCTCCCCTCCAGCCCAGACCTCTCATGAAAGTCCCCCCTTGCTGTGGGAAGAAGGCAGCGGCGGTTTTACACACATCTCGGTCAGGATGCAGTGGTGGGCAAGGGGCTGGGTTGGGTTTGAGGGACCCCAGCCTTCTGCTGAGGCTTGTCCCCATTCTGGTGCCCTGTAGGTTCCTGTGCCCAGGGACAAGCAGAAAAAGAAGAAGAAGGAGCAGAAGCCATGTGAACTCCGCAGTGACCCTCCCATTCGGAGGACCCTGGGCACCAGGAGAGTCACCCTAGAGTCCCTGCTGGCCACCGAGGACCTGGTGGCAACTGTATGTGACTTTGGGATCTTGATCACTGAGCAGCCGCTGCAGCCACCAAGTCTGGAGAAGGTAAGGAACGTGTCCCAGGGCAGGGCGGTGAGGCAGGGCTGCCGGGGACGGGCAGGGGTTCAGGCTGAGGTTCAGCACGTCCTGCCCTGCAGCTGGCCCAGGCTGCTCCCATCCATCCCTCAGTTCTCCTCTCTGTAAAATGGGGCTGAAATAATCCTGCCTAAGCACCATCCATCGCTGCTGGTATCATTATTTAATGTTGATATTAGCAATAAGTACTGCTACTTTTAATGGGCCTGGGAAAATAGATGAGTTTATTTTTCCGTTTGAGAATATGAAAGCAACCACTCGTGCCTCCTCTGGTGTGCCCTCTCTCTCGGCATGGCAACACACACAGACTGTACTGACACTTTCTGTTTCCTGGATTCTCTTCTCCAAGCAGCCCCGCCATGGTGCTCCTGCTTCTCCTCGCCCCTTTCCTTTGCCCCTTTAAATCCCAGTGACAGAACCCAGATGGCGATGGCTGCCCCAGGACTGAATGCAGGCAGTGAATTTCAACACCGCCTAACTATGGAAACATCTCTCTCCGCAGGACAGGACAAAAAGCAAAGACAAGAGCAAAAAAACAAAAGGAGAGAGAGAAAGTCAGGCCAGCTGGAAAACCACGGCGTCTGCAAAAGGTGACGGAGACTGGAGCTGGCTGGGCAGAGGGTGGCGTGTGCGAGAGCAAACAGCGGCGGTGCCCGGCCCGGGAGGCAGCCACAGGTCCCCGCCACCCTGCCAGCGCCAGCGCTGCGAGCAGGGCGCTTACTCACATCCTGAGCTGTGAATACATCCATTGACTGCGGGGGATGGAGGGTTAGACACACGCCCGGACGCCTTGTTGAATCGGTGTCTGAACAAGCGCCGAGGGTGGGCCGCCGGCTGTCCGGGGAGCGACACGCACACCTCCCAGCCCTGTGTGCCAGGGGAGAAGGGCAAAGCAGATTTTTGGGTGAGATGTGCTGCCCACTGTGTCGGCTGCCAAATGCGGCTGATGGCGTGGGCCGGCATGGGCAGCTGGGGGGAGGGCTGTCTGGGATGCATAATAAGGTCCTCATCCATTTCCAGCTCACATCTCAAAGCACTTCGCAGAAGGAATTGTTGTTCTTTCTGGTTTAGAGATGAGATGCACAGAGAGCCCCAGGCGCCCCAGCCAGCCCATGGTGGGGCCGGGAACAGACCCCGGTCTGCTGTCACCCATGAGGAGACCACCCCGACCCCTGATGGGTGTCCCCTGCCTCCCCAGCTCAGAGCTCCCAGTCTGCTCAGCCAGCAGCGGGGCTTAAACCGCTGCGGACAAACCTCACCCTGCCTCTTGCAGGTTATTTTTCCAGCAATCTTGTTTTGACTACAAAAATAGCAGTGCCAGCACATCGGAGGGGTAACGCAAGAGCAGGAGGAAGTGGGGGGAAGGGAAGGGGTAGCGGGGAGATGCTGAAAAGCTGCTCATGGGCTGAGAAGAGCACGGAGTGGGCTGGGCCTCCAAAGGAGCTCCAAAGGAACCTCATGTCCCTGCTCTGGCATCAGATTTAGTTGCTAATTTAAGAGAGAGATTAATGCCCTTCCCCAAGAGCTCCGGGGTGCTTTTCCGTGCCCTGTCACCCACAGCAAAGTCCCTGTCTTTGGGGAGGATCTGAGAGCTCTGCAGTCCTAGGCTGCGTCTGCGCTCGATGAAGTCCAATGGCCTTCCCAGCTACCTGAAAAGAAGAAAAAAAAAAAACAACCTTTGAATTATTGTGCCCTACAAGAAGATGTGTATTTGCAACATATGCTCAGACTGTTGGTGAAGCAGGGAGCCGCCGTCAAACAGCTGAAGTTTAGCAGTGGTATTTTTTACTTCCTTTCCACCCCGGTGCCTGTGGTCAGTGTGCATGCGAGAGGTCTTCCCGCCAGCTCGAGCGAGAATGAACCCTTTCTGCAGGGGGTTGTGCGGCCGGAGATGGTGTTGAGTGTACAGAAAGCCACTGCAGGAAACCCAGAGTGATTAGACTCGTGCTTCATTCAGTGTCCCCTTGTGCCTGTGGAGGCTGGCCGGCGCACGGCAAGGCCACCGAGTGCATATTGCAAAAAGATAGTGCCTAAAAATCAGCTGCCCCCACAGCTTGCTGCACCCCGTGCCAGCAGTGTCCCATGGCTGTGCGCTCCGCTGTGACTCATGACTCACAAGTACACCCCGATTGCGGCAGACACGGCTTGGAGAGGGGTGGGGGGGCAGGTGGGCTGCTCAAGCGCCGCTGCACGCAGTGTCTGCGAGCCCTGGCAGCTCCATGAGTCACCAAATCGCACCATGGTCGTTTGGCACTTGCTCATCACCTGGGTGTACTGTGCACCGTCTTGGGGCTGCGGCAGTGGCCATGCTCCGAGACACGCGGAACGGCTCCCAGCCCTCATTCTGCTGCAGCCGTGCGTCCAGCGAGGTTGCATAGGGACCGGCACTCTCACAGCCGGGAGCTGAGGCTGATTTGCATCCCTCAGTCAGCAAATGCACACAAATAATAAGTCCTCTCAGACGAATTGGGATCCCTTCCAGACAGCTCAAAGGGGAAAAGCAGCGAGCTTTGTCTCGAGCAAACAATTTGCCCAGACGTTGAAGGATGTCTTCAGAAGTAGTCTCACGTAGGTCCCATTTTACCCCACTCTTGATTTTCCAGGATCCTTGAACTGATCTATTCCTGCATCTTTCTTCTGTCCTAGGAATTATAGGAGAACTTAAGAACAAAAAGCAAAATTTCACCCAGGTCAATTGCCTGCGTAAAGATGCTTTTTGGGCTTCTTACCCAAAGTCGTATTCAAATAGATTTTCCCTCAAGGCCTGGAAGTCAGTGCTAATGCGGTGGGCATTCCCCCCTCCCTGGGCACACTGCTGCTTTTAGGTGATTTACTCTGTCGAGACAGTGACAGATTTATTTCTTACCACAGGAAAAAGGAAAAACAAAGACTCTGCTGAACTGGAGGAGGGTCGAGAGCTCCAGCCGGTGCCGCTGACGGTTCAATTCCAGATGCAGCTGCTTCGGTGGCCCTCGGCTGCCGGTACCCAGAGCCAGGAGAGCGTGACCATGGCAGTGGGGAAGACCCAGTAATGCGTCCGTAGCATAGAGTGAGTGGGAAATAAAACCCATGGGGATGCTGTGTGGATCCTGGTTCAGCTGAATCACCAGGGCTGGGAGTTGCCATGGGGCTTGTGATTGCCCGGGGCTGCTGCAGAACTTCAGCAAGAGCTGCAGCGTGCAGGGGGCTGGTGTGTGATGTGCAGGGTCGGGTGTGCAATGTGGGGTGTGCGATGTGTGGGGTCGGGTGCGCAACATGTGGGGTGGCGCGTGCGGTGTGGGGTGTGCGATGTGCAGGGTCCGCTGCGCAATGTGCGGGGTGGGGTGTGTGGGGTGGACTGTGCAACATGCGGTGTGGGGTGTGCAATGTTGCGGGGTCGGGTGTGCGATGTGCGGTATGAGGTGTGCAACCTGCGGGGGGGGGAGTGCGGTGGTGCGAGACCTTATTATTGCTTACAAATATCTAAAGGGTGGGTTGAAGGAGGATGGAGCCACACTCTTCTCGGTGGTTCCCAGTGACAGGACGAGGGGCAATGGGCACAAGTTGGAACACAGGAAGTTCCGTTCCAACACACGGAAAAGCTTCTTTAGGGTTGGGGTGCCAGAGCGGTGGCACAGGCTGCCCAGGGAGGGGGGGGAGTCCCCTCCTCTGGAGGGTTTTAAGACCCGCC